TGTTTCCTTGAAGTCCTGACTCTGCTGGTTACTGCTAGGTAGGGTTGAAAGTCAGCGAGGTGGAGAGGCCTCAGGACAGCTGCAATGCCAGTGTCCTGCCCTCAGCCTTCGGTCTCCAGCCCAGGGAGGTGGGGGGCAGCCCTGGCTGTGTCTGTCCCGCCCGGGAGCCACTGCTTTCCCGGACACTCGCCTGCCTCACCTGACCACCCCTTCCCCGACAGGCTTTTTCGGGTTATGTTTCTGGCCTGTGACGACTGGCGTCCCCAGATGCCTGCTTGCCCCACTCCAGGTCTGCAGCACGCAAGGCAGCGGGACACGCGGGGACCGCGATGCTGTGTTGTTCTGGGGTCCCCAGGCCACTCCTCTCCCCGACCCGTTTTCAGAGTCTTTCAGGGCTTAGTTGCACTTCGCAGGTGCAACAAGGACAAGTGTCCTCTTCTCTGTCTTCTCTGAAACGGAAGTCTGTTATTGTTACTGTGATTTTCTGTGAATCTAGAATTATTGCAAATAAAACGTAAAAGAGAAATTTGCATGTTGCTTTCTAGTGTGTCTGAGTAGGAGAACACAAGGGAGGTACTCATCCCAAGGGAAGAAAGCCGCCCGAGCATCCCAGTCCATGCGTGACACAGGCTCAGGGGCTCAGGGGAGTCCCAGGATGGGGTTCCCAGGCTGAGCGGGCGAGGGGCTCCCCTCGCCAAGACCGAGTCTCTGCGGGCGGCAGGACTGTGCCCAGCACCCACAGGGCAGCCGATCTTGGGTGTCCTAAATCAAAGGCACGGTGACTGCTAACACCAGCGCCCCTGGACTGCCTGTCTGTGAGCCCCAGGCGATGGATGGAGGCAGCCCCAAGCCTGGGAGGCACCGTGAGATGTCAGATCCGGAAGGGTCCGTGGGGACAGCAGCCTGGCCGCCCCCACCACAGGAAGCGCGGCTGCAGCCACAGCTGGAGCAGGCGGGACGGAGCGGGCTGAGGAGGGCCGTCTGGCGGCGGCGGGAGGCCCGCGATGGGGCCCAGCTGGCCAGCTGGACCGGGCTGGAGACGGCAGCATCTGGAAAGCATCACCGCCGTCCACCAATCAGAGCACAAGCGCCGAACAAAGCCCTGGCGAGCCAGGCGGTTGGCCGTGGTCTGCAGCCCATCTGGGCTCTCATTGCTGCTCCGGCCTTTGTGAGAAGGGCCGGAGCCTCCTGCGTGCGTCACAGCCAAGGGCACACTGCGCTGTCCGCCCTCCCGGGAGGCAGGCGCACAGGCCGAGCTCAGAGCATCGCCCGTGCTGGAGGCAAACTAGAAATGATATTGTCAGGTTTTAAATTTTATTCTGCTCCTAAACCGGGCAGATGAAAGATGGAGACTTGGATGAGGCCCCGCTCGGGCCCCAAGTTGTCTGGCGTCTTTGGGAAGCTGTGAACCGATGAGTGACTGGCAGGGATGAGTGCCACCTCCTCTCCCTGAGGGGTCCCGCCCCTGACTCCACCTCCCCAGGGCGCCTCCTGCCCTGCTGGGCACACCTTCCACTGCATTTCCGCTGTGGGTTCCTGGGCCCTGGGGTGCTGGGTCCCTCTGCCCTCTCACCCCTGCTCCCCGGGGCCCCCATCACTGTCCCTTTGATGCTCACACCTGCACGCACAACTCCAGCCAAACCTCTGTCAGACGCACACCCAGCCTTGCCACTGGGCAGCTCTCTGGGCGCTCGGCGTGCAGAACCACATCCCCAAGATCACAAGGAGTCCTGGAAACCAGGTCTTAAGCAGGGTCCTTATCATTATAGTGGACCCCGATTCCAATATGAATTTTGGTTCTTAGAAGAAAAGGAAATTAAAAGCCAGGTGTAGTGGTGCATGCCTGTCATCCCAACACTTGGGAGGCTGAGGCAGGAAGGTGGTTGTGAGTTTGAGATCAGTTTGGGCTACAAAATGAGCTCAAAATCAGCCTGAACTGCATAGTGAGACCCTGTCTCAAAAAATGAAAAATAAACCAAGAAAAAGAAGCAAGAGAAGGAGATTGAGACAGAAACACTGAGAAATGGCCAACTATAAAGAAACCGAGGCGAGCGGGCTCGGCTTCCTGCTGACACCTTGATCCGGACTGTGAGACATTAAATTTCTGCTGCTGAAGCTGCCCACTCTGTGCAGGCCAGGGCAAGCTGAGGACCATGCTGTCCCTGTGTTTCCCACCTCCGTGAAAGATGCCATCCCCTAGCCAGCTGCCTGGGACAGGGAAGGCTTGGGAGCTCCTCCTCCTCTGTGTCGACACCTCGGTGGCCCGTGGGTGCCCTCACAATCTGGTCTCCTAAACAGCTCTTCCACCCCTTCACTTCTTTCCGTCCCGGGGACCCCTTCCCTCACCCCCGGGCTGACTGATCGCCCAGTGGGCAGAGGCGTCAAGCTCAGCGTGGCTCAGGCCATGCGTCTACAGATGGGTCATCATTTCCTACATGGGGACCCATGTGTGGGTGTCACCCAACCTCACCCCACAGCCACAGCCCGTGGACCACCCACCAAGATGGTGCCACGCTATCACAGTATTGAGAAAGCATGTCAGGACCCTGGTGATGGACCAGTGGACATCAATCACTCAGGTCCTTTTTGTAGCCACACAAAACAATGATGCTGCCTCTTCGGGGTGAGGTATTTAGGGGGCCCAGAGACCACACGGTGGGCTCCTCAGCAGAACGCTGTCACCATTAACTCCCTGGAGGAGCTGGGAGCTGAGGGCCTTTGCTCGCTCCATGTGTCTTGGCCTGCGTCTCCCAGGGTGCTCGTGGTCTCTGGCTTTACAGTGTGTCCTGGAGGGAGCCTGGGCACCTGGGAGGGCAGAGCTAAAAGAGGAGGCTGGCTTGGGCAGGGGCTGGGGGTAGGGCTGTCCCCAAAACTTACTCCACGTCAGCATGGGCCTGATGGTGCAGGATTCAAGGACACTGGCACCCCAAGCCACCTGCTGTCCACTGCCAGAAGCGGGCAGAAAAAAGCTGTGAGGTGTCCCAGGACAGAGCAGCAGGTCCCAGAGGAGGCAAAAGGAGCCGCTCTTCAAAGGGCCGCGGCCGCTAACCCTCCAGGAAGTACAGATGAGGAAGAAGGGGCCTTTGCCACGCAGGCTCAGCAGGCCAGGCCAGGCCAGGGGGACAGACTACCGTGCAGAGGCCCAGAGGGCAGGGGCTTTTGGAGTGCAGCTGGGGATCCTAGAGCTGCTGAGGTGGGGTGGCAACAGGACCGTGACCCAGGGGGCTTTGGGACCACGGTGCCTTGCAGGGTCAGGAGAGGGGTGTGGCGGGTTCATTTCCTGGTCCCTGCTTCTCCTGTGTTTTCTCTAAGGACAGCCTCAGCTTCTTCATCTGTTAAATGGGGTAACCAGAGAGCCACAGGGTTATCATGCAGATTAGTGAGTTAACACAACTAGAACCGGACCTGCCCGGGGCCCGTGGCCTACAGTGTGGCCTGCAAGGTACTGTGTCACCCTGCATGTTCTTCATGGCCGGATCTGAGAGCTGGTCAACAGGGTCAGGAAATGTGCCTGGGCATGCAGGGTGGAGCCTCCTGGGGAAGTCAGGACCTGCCCAGGGGGACATGTGGGCGGCACTCAGACACCAGGCCCAAGGACAGCCAGCCAGAGGCCTAGAGGGCAATGGGTGACACGCATCTGCAAGCCAGGTGTAGGGGGAGTTTAGGGTGTCTTTCTCTTTTTTTTTTTTTTTTTTTTTTTTTTTTTTTTGTCTTTCTGACACAGGGTCTTGCTGTGTAGTCCAGGCCTTGAGCTCACTTTATAGCCCAGGCTGGTCTCCAACAACGATCCTCCTGCCCCAGGCTTTCAACTACCGGGATTACAGGTGTGTCTCTAGGGTGATTTCCTAATACAGTCGCAGTTCTGGGGCTCCTGGGTCAGTGAGGGGACCTCATTGTCACCTCCATTTTGGGTGAGGGCTGGAAGCTAAGAGATGTCCCAGCACGGACTTGGAGGGGGAAGGGGATATTAGGAGGGAGGACCCCTTCTTGAGCCTGATGAGGGCCCTCTGTGGAACCCTTGCCGTGAGAGTAAACCCGCAGGCCCTCGGAGGCCAGCGCCCGAGGTGCGTCTCCTCCGCTGCGTCCTGAGTGCGGCCCTGGGCGCTGTCTAGACTCATGCCTGACCCAGAATGCAGTCAGACTAACCTAGAACGGACCCTGGCTCCCCGTCCTGAGCTACGGGCCAGGCTGAGAGCCAGCGGCTTGTCACCTGTGCTGTGGCTTGACATCTGCCACAGTCATCGCAAGGCGCGGTGGACAGCTGTCGGAGAGGAGCCACAGTGGGTGTGGCCCTGGGGGGCCTGGCCCGAGCAGGTGCCCAGAAGCACAGCACCGAGCTTGGGGCGGTGGCGGAAACCAGGACGAGTACTTCCCACTGACGCCCGGATTCCGCTCAAGTCGTATTTTGGCCGTGGGGGTTATTTTAATTAGCAAGCGGCAAGCAGGAATGTGAGTGCTTGACGACTTCTCCAGGTGGTAGGAAAAAAGTATTAAATGACAAAAACAAACCCAGAAACATTCTTGAGCAGGGGGAAAAGGGTGTGGGGTGGCCTGTTTGTAGCGCTGCCTAAATATAGCAAAGGGTATTTTTGTAGATGGCAAAAATGATGCCCAGGCCCTGCAGGAAAACACAGCCTCTTCCCAAGTTTCTGTCCAGCCGATCTTGGGCTGAGGTGGCCGGGGATGTCTGGAAGCATCTGGTGACCGGGCAGTCAGCCCCATAAACCTGGTGCCGGACACTGCCTGGCAAAAGAATAAGATCAGACAGTGTTCCCATCGGCCTCGCTGCAGGACTGGCTCTTCCTCCCTCCTCTGGGCTTCTACAAAGCTGCTTGTAGCCAGGCATGGTGGCGCACGCCTGTAAGCCCAGCCCTTGGGGAGCTGAGGTAGGAGGATCACTGTGAGTTCAAGACCAGCCTGGGCTACATAGTGAGTTCAAGCGAGACCCTCTCTCAAAACTCAAAACCAAACAACAAAAAAAACACAAGCAAACCAAAAACCAAAAGAACACCCTGCACTCTTATGAATAAACACAACTCCAAGGAGGCAGAATTTGGTCAAAGAGCTTTGTGAATAAATTCGAGGCCCCTCAGCCCTGCAGATCCCTAATTGGGACCAGGTTAGGGTGGGAAGTCGCTGTGGGGTCTGACAGGGGCCTCCCCACCAGCTCCTTCCGAAGCACCATGCAGAACCAATTACGCAGCGCCCCACAGCAGGGCCTTGCTGCGGTTGGGGTGGCTGCAGGGGGGCCCCTTAGGGCGCCGCCTCCTCTGAGCAGGGGCCCCCTGCTGTCAGCTCTGGGACCCCGCCCTGCCCAAAGCCAGGCCTGCCTCCAGCAAAACCTCGCATTGACAGATCCTGAGTTCATTCGTTTGCCAAAATATGGGGCGATCCTCGGGGTTTGGCAGATGCTGCCGACCGCAGAGATGATGGATGGCTGGGAGCAGCGTCCGGCCAGATGGGTCCCAGTCTGTGAAATGAATGGCTGAGGGAGACTTCACTCCCTGATACCAACGACAGCTGCCTTTAGGACTGGAATCCAGGCGGGTGTTGGCAGCGGGTGGGCCGGGAGAAGGCGTCTGATGAAGCCAGGCTGCCAGGATCTGGGACCAAGTTGCCCCTGGCTTTGAGCAGATGGCGGTGGGACACGGCAGGAAACGTGCCACAGGAGACCTCCCTCATGGGGCCCTGGGAGTAATGAGAGGCCCAGGGCCGCTGTCGGCAGGACACACAGTGACCCAAGCAGCGCCTGCAGTGGGCACAGTGGGGTCCAGCAAGATGGGCTGTGATTGGCACGCTGCTAAGGATACCTGCAAGTTGGCACCGGCCGTGCTGAGCCCTCGAGAGCTTTGTCCTTTGGGTGTCTGAGGGCAGACTGGCAGGCCACCTGTGTTGGAGAAAAGGGGACGATTCATCCACCCAGCGTACGGTCACTTCCTGGCCACCTTCTGAAGACAAAGCACTATCAGAAGGGACTCTATTAGTAATCAGAAGGCCCAGGGCCTGCAACGGGCAGACGACAGTCTAAACTGAGAAGCAGGGCTTGGGGTGGGGCGGCGGGCCCAGGTGGTCCCGTTCCCCCATCCCAAGTGCGAGGCCCAAGTGAAGGCTGATGAGACGGGGGTGGGGGGGGGAGCGGGCAGCTCATGGCCTTTAGCCTTATCACCGGGAGCCTAGTACTGCCCATCCACGGGCAGGGATGGCTTATGGGTCACCTCCAGGTCCCGGGCCCTGGCCTGTCCAGACCATCAATTCCATTCTCCGGGACACGGAGGACGGAAGGAAGGGCCGGTGTGCACCCTGAGTCTCCCGACCCTGGACAGTTCCTGGAAGGCACCCCTTAGCTCCTGGAAGGCCGTTTCTGTCGGTGCACTCTGCACTTTGCTTCAGAGTGGGCAGAGCTCAAGGGGAGGAGACCGAGAGACCCGGCTTCCGCCTCAGTCTGGGCCCTGGCCAAGAGCAATCTGGGTTTTCCTAAAATGCTCTGGCTGGAACTGACACTGGCGGGTGAGGGGACCGGCTGTCGGGGAGGGTAACAGGAAGCTGCTGCATAGTCCAGGCTCGGTCTGGGGAGGGGGCAGCAACAGCCCCAGACAGGATCAAGGGGGCAGACAGTCAAATCCCAGGTGATGAGAGCATGTGACACCGGGATTAGGAGTGATTTCTAGGTTTCTCTCCGAGATTGTGGGTGTCTTTCATTAATGTGGCGTCTGGGGATAGAAGGCTGTCTGAGGGACATCCAGGTAGAGAGTTCTAGAAGTAGCCAGAGAAGGAGCTCGGAGGAGAAGTGGGGACCGGAGGTCTAAATGTAGCAGCGGGATCCAGTATGCTCCATCTGGGCCTTCTGAAGCCTGCAGCGAGGAGGAGGAGGAGGAGGAGGAGGAGGAGGAGGAGGAGGAGGAGGAGGAGGAGAGGCAGGAGCCCCAGGGTTGCAACATCCCGAGGTGATTTATAGGGGAAACGTCCTGTGTGTTTGTTTCTCAGTGCTGTCTTCCAAGAGGGAATCTAAAACCCGCATTCTGATCCTCAGTGTAATTTCCAGTCACTTCCCCTGACAACATTTGGTTCTTATTATCAGAAGATACTCACAGATGTAGCACTAAAATCTTGGCTTCCACGGATAAGGAAAACAAGATAATCCAAAGTATTGCAGCAACCCTCCGCCGGTTACGATTCCAAGAAATGGTGGTTGGATAACTCTCTCGGAGTCTACTTTCCAAAGCGCTCTGAGTGGACAGAGGCCAGCTGCCCGGCCGGGGTCAGGATGGCATCTGAACTTTCAACCGGGAAGGCTAAGGAGCCTTCGAAGACGAGCCCCTCAGAAGGTGGCCTGGCACTGAGCCTCGGGCCCCAGCCTCACACGTGGGGCCCCGGCCTGGGGTAACGAGGGCTTGTTGACTGAGAAAAGACACAGGCAAATGCCACAGGCGTCACGTGGTAAATGTTCTCATTTGATGTTGCTTTTCAGAGGCTCCAAGGGCTTATTACTAAAGGGAGGGGTGATTTCTCTAAGACAGAAATGGAAAAATATTTATGCAGAACTCATGTTTTGAAGTTTAATAGAGAACCTTATCCTCCTCCCTTTTAAATCGGGTATTAGTGATCTTTGGCTCCTCCCAAATAATATAACCAGCATGGCATTCTTCGCACTTAAGCCCTGGATACCCTGAAGGCACAGTTTTGATGGAATAACTTATTTAGTTCACTCTGTAGGACAAGCACTTTAATAATAAGTTAGCTCACTTAATTCTCAGAATAGTTGTGGGACCATCATACGTCTATTAAACACGTTTTTGGGAAATGAGATTGGGCCTTGGGAAATGCAGCCCATTTTTCCAGGGGTGGACGGCCGGGGGACACAGGCAGGGACAGCATTTGAGCACAGGACACTGACTCCATGGCCCGCGGGGTCCCCAGCTGTGGCTGGGTCCCTCTGACCGGGGCTGGGTGGAGTGCATTTCTTCATATATCCCAGCACTGCCACCTCTGTGTAAGGGTCCCCATTTTACAGCGGGGAACTTGAGGGGCAAAAAGGGCTTGTCAGGGTCCCAGGAAGGAGAGGAGCCCGGGTCCCGATGGCACTGCTGCTGTGTCTCCTGGTTGCCCCAGGACGTCGTTCTGCCCTCTGCATCCCTGGCGTCCTGTGTCACAGGAGGACCACACAGCGTCCCTCTGACAGCAGGGCACCATCAAGGCCCGGAGAGCGAGGTCTCCGTCCTGGGAGAGCCGTGGCACCACTGGGGAACCCTGGAGAGCAGCAGGCCATAGACCGAGCAGCTGATCTTACACGAAGGAAGCCCAGACGGAAGGACCGTCCGCTTCTTTTCTTCTTCTTCAGCTTTGAAAATTTTATCACCACAGGCAGGCAGCACATGGCGATCACAGTCCTCTCGGGAAGCCGGGGCGTGTGCGTAACGCATCTTAATTCTCTGTACTTCCTCCGCTCTCCGCTCTGAGCTCCGTCTGTCTGTCCGTCCTCTTTCCAGTTAAGAGAGATCTACTTCCTGTTTCGCAGCGTCCCTCTTTAATGCTGCTCTTTTGGAAGGGAGTTTCTCGTATTAGAGAAATCATACAGCATGCAAGCGTGTGTCTGGTTTATTTCACTTGGCATCCTGGTCTCGAGGTGCATCTGCTTTCCTTCTTCATCCAGCATGTGTAGGAACCACATTTTCTGCGCCCGGGCCTCTGGATGGACATTTGGACGCCCGTATGGCCCTCAGCAATGGGTGACCCCAGGACAGCAGTGGGCAGGCTGAGCTGTCCCTCCCTCCCTCCCCCTGGCAGGTATGCGTCAGGGTTGGGGAAACCTTCTTCCACGTCCCCACTTGGTGCCTCAGCGGCCAGCCAGCTCCTGCCCACTCGGCCAGGTCCAGGGTTCAGCCTGACAACCTGCAGCCCCTGAGCAAGGGCAGGGCTTCAAGAAGCAGCCACAAGCCATCCCAGACACTGACAGCTGCAGGGCCAGTGACCGAGCCAGGGCTCAGGGTCCTGTGACTCACGGTGGATCACTGGGTCCCAGAGGTCACTGTGAAGGGTCCATCCCGAGGACCCGGCCTTCCCATACATGGTTCCAGTTTGCCTGCTGGCTGAGCACAGTTAGGACCAGTGCACAGATGGAAGATGAGGGGACCACGTGGGCTTCGGGGACACAGTGTGCATTTCCAGTCCAGCTCGGGGCGATGGGGTCTCCAGCCAGTCCCTACCGCTATGTGAGCCTCCCTGGCAAATTGGGTGCAAGATACAGGTCTGTGCGCGAGGTCCACAGATCCCCAAGATGCCCCTGCTGAGCACTGGGAGGGGCGTGCAGCCCTGGCGGGGGGAACTGCCTCTATTTCCGCCAGCTCATCTCCCCCCAGCTTGGCCTAGCCACCCACCTCCGAGCATCCCCGTTCCTGGAGACAAGGAAGGGAAGGGGCTGCAGAAGGGTGTCTCTCCCTGCTCTTTGCAGGTCCCACCAGTGGGCTCAGCCCAGAGATCCTTTCCAAAGAAACCATCTGCTTGCCTCAGAGCAACTCCACTCAAGCAGGGGCTCCGAGCCAGGCGTGGTGGTGCACGCCTATAATCCCCGTGCTGTGGGAGGTGGAGGCCGGAGGACTGCGGACGAAAACATGGCCTGGGCAATTTAATTTCTTGATAAGATTGTGTTTTAACATTTAAAAAAAATGGGGCTGGGGATGTAGCTCAGTGCAAGGGCCCAGAGTTCATTACCTAAGACTGAAAAAAAGTAGTTGTACAGAACAAAGTTGTCCTCCCTGTCATGGGAGGGGGAGCTTCCTGCCAGTTCTGTTTGCCTCAGCAGGGCTCCATGTATTTACTGCTGGTTAAGCCCCTAACCTGCCACTGCCTGCAGCCAGGGTCTTCTTCCCCAGCATGCACTGCGTCTGCACAGTTGGCTCTCCGTAAACCTGGGTCCTGCGGCCCCATGGCCAGCCCCTGCCAGCCGCAGCCTCACCCAGTCACTGCAGTGTGAACAGGCGGGAGAGGGGCGTGCCTCAGCCTGGGCTGTGCTGGCCTTGCAGTGGCCGCTCCACCCCAGAGAAGGGTGTCCTGCTGCCTGACCCCAGGCTGCAGGGTCCTGTGTCTGGTGACCCCAGGCCCTTTGACTATGTCCCCTGGAGCTGAGCCATGGTTCTCTCCAGCTCATCCCAGCCTTCTCCTAGGCCCGCTGTGTGCCTGGGTGTTATCCTCCCACCCCGGCTCCTTGATCACCCACAAGCAGATCTCAGAGGACCCCTCCATCCTGCTGTCTAGTCCAGCACCAGGTCAGCTCACTGTCCAGGTGACACGCATGTCATGTGATGTCATCTGGGAGTGGCTGTGAGTAAAGCAAGTCCCTGCTCCCATGGAGCTCACGTGCGTGGGGGGAGGAGGACCAGGGCAGCTGCACACGTGGGACAGTGAGTGCCACGGGTGGGGATGGGAAGCACCACGGAGAAACAGTGCTGCCACTGAATGTGGGGGGTCAGGAAAGGCCGCACTGAGAATGTAACTTTTGAGATGGGTTTGCAAGAAAGTGATCAGCCAGATGGGTATCTGGGGAAGAGCGTTTAAGCCTTGAGAATGGGAGTGTCCCGTGGAAAGGCCCTGTGGCAGAAATTAATAGTGGGAAGTCTTTGTGATTGGTGCAGTGGGAAGAGATTAGAGACCCAAGGTGAGGAGCAAGTCAGATGTCTCCAGGCTGTGGCAGGGTCTTGGGGGCACTCCTCACATCTGGTGAGGGTGGATCTCATCTAGGGTTTGTCAAACTGTACACCAATAAAATAATAGAAGTGTAAGTTCTAGAAGGAGGACACACTTTACTGGAAGGGGAGGAAGGAGGAGACGCACGGCTGCCTTGTTGGAGTCCGGCCCTGGCGCTCAGAGGCTTAGTTCTCAGCCTCCTCGTGGGAAAGGGGTGCTGCCCCGCCCCCCGGAGGCCTTGCGACCCGGCCCGTTCTCTGGGCTTCAAACCCCTGCCGTGGCCATGGCTGTGACCCTCCCGCAGCCCACTGCATACTGTGGGGTGGGTGAGCACGTCTGTGGCCCTGTGTGCCCTGCGGGTGCTCATCCTGTGACCCCGAGGCACAGTCCACACTGCACCGGACCAGACGGTGCCGCGCATGCGTGCTTCCCTGCAGGCGTGCACGGTCCGGGCATGAGTGTGAGCTCCACACCGAGCGGGTTTGCTGTGCCATGAGAACTGCCCCTCCCTGCTGTGCTCCTGTGCTGGACTGGAGCTGGGGGCAGGGTGTGGAGGCCTCGGACCACAGGCCCAGGGAGCAGGGTCTCATCAGCTGGCCCTGTCTGTTTCCTAGCTGCTCGCTCTAGCAGGGCTGGACTCTATGTGCCGGAAGCTTCTCTGAGGCCCTTTAACTTCCCTGCCCGGCCCAGGCCCCGACTCTCCCTCTGTCCCCCTCCGAGACACCCAACCAGCTGCATTCAGGGTATCAGGCAGCGGCCGACCTGGCTTCTTGGAGCTCGGGCTGTTGTTGGGGGCAGCTGCTGGACGTCCTCAGCAGGCCAGCTGGAGCCCTCCTTTCCCTCATGGTGGATCTTGGAGGCCAGAGGGTCCACAAGCCTCCACCTTCAGCTTTTTGTCAAACATTCTGAGTCTGGTCTCCACCTGTTCGGAGGAATTAATGTACACGCAGCGGGCACCACCTGGCACCTCAAGGATATCCCCTCCACCCAGCGACCACTGGGCATCCCGGAAAGAATGTGACCATTTTCCGGCTCCATCCCTGCAAGAAACCTCAAGGTCACTGAGGCTGCTTCCCAGGCCTGGGCAGGCTCTGTCGCATTAGCAGTGAGGCTGGGTATCTGAGCCGGATGGGCGAGGACTCCATAGGTGACTCCTCCAGTGACCCCCGAGTGACAATCAGGATGACAGGCTCTCACTGTCACGGAGACAAGTGATGGCAGTGTCCCCCACAGAACCCATCCTGGCTGCTCCCGATGGGAAAGCAGCTAGCTACAGCCTCGGGAATGGAGCTGGGTGCTGACTTGCTGGCTTCCTCCGAATCACAGGGCTCCAGGCCTCTGATACCCCGGACCGAATTCATCTCGGGTTTGTCATCTGCCGTAGGAGTCCCCAGAGGGGGGAAGAGGGAACTCTGCCCTTGTACCGGTGTCTGTATCTTTCTCAGCCCTCCGATGGAGACATTTGATGGATGTGGAGACATTTGGGATTTCCGTATTTTGGATCTTGTGGGTGCAGTACAGGTTTCAGTGTCACCCAGGGCGAGGTGACTACGTGGAGGTCTGTAAAACAAAGCCAGCAGTTCAGACACCCCGAGGGCAGCGCCCTGCCATCTGGATGAGTGGACTCTTGTGCTGTCCTGCTGGTCCCAGCAGGAGTCTCTGGCCCATTGATGACGGAACGAGGACGGACCCAGCGAGGGCAACGTGA